TTACCATATCAATTTGTTTCTTGTGATCATTAGGAGAACTTTCGGGAGTGTCATGTTTTGGAGAAGTTAAATCTGGAATTATACTTTTATTTTGAATATTATTTACCATATCAACTTGTTTCTTGTGATTATTAGGAAGACTTCCAAGAGAATTATGTTTTGGAGAAGTTAAAACTGGCACTATTCCTTTATTTTGAATATTATTTACCTAATATATTTTAATATAATTTACTATTTGATAATATTTAATAAGCTAGAATGCAATAATAAATAATACCATATTAACTTCTTTCTTGTGATCATTAGATGAACTTCCGGGAGTGTTGTGTTTTGGAGAAGTAAAATCTGACAATGTTATTTTTTTATTTTGAGTATTATTTACCTAAAATATTTTAACATAATTTATTGTTTTGAAAAGTTTAAAAAAACCTAACAACTTATTATAACTATGATATATACCATATCAATTGTTTTCTTGTAATTATTAGGTGAACTTCCAGCATAATTGTATTTTGGAGAAGTTACTTCTGGCGATATTATTAATTCATTTTGAGTATTTTGCTAAACATTTAAAATAAAATAAAATAATAACTAACAAGTTATCAATTATTTATTTATTATATTTAGTTAAATACCATTGTAATTTCATTCTTGTAATCATTCGTTGAATTTTCAGAAAAATCTTGTTTTGGAATAATTATATCTGATGTTACCATTATTTCATTTGGAGAATTAGTCACAGATCTTAATTTTTTATTTTGTTCTTGAGAGTATGTATTTGAATCGAGAATTTTGCAATGTAAACTAGATTCTGTAGAATCTGTAGTGTTTTGTTGAGTATAATTTGTCTTGAACAACTGATCAACTGTTTTTTTATTACATTTTGATGATTCACTATTGATGTATTTTAATCTTTTTTGAAACCATAAAAATAATTAAGTAATTTTTAATAACCATTGTAAAATTCTTGGTAGACATAAAAATCTTAAACTAAAAATAGAAAACTAAACGCTCTTATTGACTCTAAAGAAAAATCGCCCACATACAAATTATATAAAAAAACACTAACAATTTAAAATTTTAAAATCTTTTGTTTACTTGATTTTAAAAATTTAGATCAAGGAGTACTGAAATTTCAATATTCATTTAAAACAATTGTGTAAACATTGATGTTTATACTAAAAATACTTAAAAATGAGATATCAATCTTTGCATTAATATTTTTTAACGTTTTTCTTAAGAATAGACACAACAAAATAACTTACTTAAAATCAAGCCATGATACAATATTTTCCATGTATGTTGCAAATTCATAATGTCTATAATTTAATTTTGTTTCATGATGATAACACTCAGTTTTCAATACGCAGTCTAAATGAGGAATCTTCATTACTTTGTCGCTGAAATTATGTGAAAAATATCAATGATATAGATCTGTTGTAATAAAAACAGTGATATATTTTGGAGAATATTTTTTTATTAATATCCTGGTTTAAACACAAGTCTGCCTTAATTTTTCAGAATAACATACTACTGGTTTTCAATCTTTAAATTTAAATTTACATAACTGTTTGAAATTTGAATGCTTTATAGAAACTAACAATTTAACTTAATTTAACTTTTAAAATAACAATATAATTTATACTAATTGAATATCAAAAAATTTAATGAAGGAAACAAAAACAGTGAGATAGGTACTATAAATAAAATAACATTTTATTTTACAGAAGTTCAACATATTAGTATATTATATAATAAAATAGATTAAAGCTTACCAATAAAATGCTCCAAATGCATATAAGAAATCATCTCTGATATATTTATCATAATTATTCTTTAAATATCCAGAATTATATAAATAAATTTCACTCTCACGCGATGTTTTAGTTCTTTTCATACATAGACTTTTATTATTATTTGTTGACTCTAACTTGGCCTATAAAAAGAGAAGACATTTTATGTTAAATATGAGTATGTAATCTATGTTACAAACAAGACTGGCACAGTGAACACTGTAAAGCGAAGTTCACAGCTATGTAGTCTGGTAGTTCGTCATGCCCACAGATATGTATATATAACTGTGGTCATGCCGCACTTAAAAGTTGAACTCAATCTAATTCATGGTAGATCATGGTTAGTAAATGATACCAACGTCCTATCAAAATATGATTAAAGAACCTAATATGACAGACATAGCTGTAAAGATGGCTTGACTTGTAAATTATTCAGCAACAGATGCTATGATCATTTAGAAATGTGATAACAAGTATCAAATTCACGAGAAAAAATAAATAAAAATAAATATGTAGATTGACGATGAATCTGTAACTATAATTTATGTGCCATTGCAATTTTCCGTCATTATTAGTGATTGGGAATACACTAAACATCATTGCAACATGAACTAAGAATAGTTACAAACTTACACTACACTCTGTAGGCTGTCCATTAACCGCTGATCCAGGTTCTTCATTAAGTGCAAACTCCATTACACTACTGACACTAGCCACGTTAAGATAAAGTGTTGGACGCGTTGAACATAAAGATGAACCATGCAATAATCGTAGTAGCCTGTAAAATATGAAATCCGAAGTTTAAGACTATTTAAGAATTTATCATTTCATCTAACTCACGAGTGAACAGAAAACAGTGTCTCCGAAGCAACAGGAGGTGTCAGGAATACAAGAATTCATGAAGTTGAAACAACGGATAAATTTAAATACCGCGATTTTTAGTTTGATACAGTTGATATGATAACAATAGTGATACCATAAATAGATAAAACTTTCAACATTCTATAGTCTATACCAACAACCAAGGTAGATTTACAGAATACTAGGTTAATAATGAATTACAGTACTATCCAGATTCCAGGGGAATATTTAATATTTATGGGGATAAGACTGAGTGCCGAGTTACAACTTATAGCACCTTTCCCCCAAATATCAAGAAAATCTAAAAATTATTTCCATGGTCTATAAAAGTCGATGATCTTAAATTACATTTTATTGATTTTCGTGTCTTTATTTTATTACCATATTTTATCGCTTCGTACTCATGGACAACATTTTACCAAGGGAGAACGAATACTGGGAATCAGACAGTAGACACCAATTATTATTATAAACCCATTGAAAACGATCGCCCAGTGGTAGAGGCTAGACTGGCCAGAAAGGCAGTCACGCACTTTCCTGAAAATAAATTATCAATTAATACTAATATAATATATTATTTCACTTACCTACATTGTACATTTAACATTGTCTCATACTCTCATTCATATTGTCTCAATAATTACCTTGGTGTTGGCTGTGAGTATTTATCAGTTTATACAGAACTATAAGTTCACTTATTCTTTGTGTCATATATTTTATATATTTAATAACATAAGTATGTGTAATAGCACCAAGTACACTGAAATATTTTGTAGCTATTTGTAACTCTATATTATTTTATCAATTTTATCGTTTGGATTGTGAAGGTAAGATTAAATACAAACTATACTTAACAACGTTAATCGTTATTAAATGATAAATTAAGTATATTTTTCTTATTTTCCTTTATGACAAATAAAAATCTGGATCATGCCTAGTACTATCTACAACTGCTACGGGATTAACACCATTGTCATAAAAATTAGTTGCTCCAAATGTATCTTGTACTACTCCAAAAAATTACAACGAATAAGAGTTGGTCTAAAAATATGATTCTATCGAATTTTACAATTATTACAAATTAAATAATATTTACAAAAAGAAATATAGAATTAGATTGTTAGATTTTTTGGGATTTACAAAATGCATTTTTAAAATGTATCTTCTTCTAAAACGATTCTAAATGACTACTATTAATCGGTTTCTATATCAAATTTAATTATTTTGTAATCTTTGAAATTAAGCTGAGTAGATTTAGATCATAATATTACTTACACCATTATGGATAAATATTATTTATCTTTCGACCATTTTAACTTTTCTAAAAATTAGGCTTAGTTTAGGGTGGCCAGATTAAATTTTAAGAAATCTAAGACATCAAAATTAATTTTTTTTCAAAATAGATAATTATGTATCTATATTTCTGTATAATTTTTTCTTCGCCTTTTCAGTGTATGATAATATATTTATGTCTTATACAATATAGAATGCATGCAAGTGTATTTTAAGAAGCATCACCCCTTATCTTATACATGTCGTAATTTTAGAAATTAATTTAATTTAAATAAATTTTCTTTGGAACAAAAGGTAGTGTACTAGATTATAATTGATAAAGATTTTTGGATTATAAAAATTAAATTAATAAAAAAAATTGAAAGCAGAATTTTTTCTAGAAAATTTTGATGTAGGTATAAAAATTAAATTTCGAACGAGTAGTTCGATCGTTATAAATACTTTAAGTTAAGACGAGTAGAGTTGTGGACCAACAAGCATAAAGCTTTCCTTTAATTAATGTTTTTCAATCACGAAACTCTATTTAAAAAATATCTTTACGTTATGTTTGGAAAACATTGGTTTTTATTTAATTTCTAAAAGTCGATTCTCAAAAGTTCTTTAAAAATTGTAAAAAAAAAAAAAAGGTATATAAGTCATTTTAATATATATATTTCTTAAATCAAAAAACTTTTGTAATAAATAAATATTATAATTATAATTATTATTATTATTACTATATTCTATTTTGAAGACATTTATATAAGCAAATGGCTGTAACATAAATTTTGAATGTGCCCGTTATTTATTTAACACATAGCGATAAATACTAAATAATATATGATTATCAATAAATTATTTATGATGATTTTGAATTGATTTAATGTATACTTTGATCGGGAGTAAAACAGATCACATTTCTTTGTTCTAATAATATATTTTTTTTTAACATTTATTTGAATATATACAATCTGTAATAGTGTTACAATAATCATATGAGCTGAAAATTACAGTTGGCAGTGACCTAATAATATAGCTTTAACTTTTTAGTGTTTCGGATTTGGATATTAAATATACAATAAGAATATACTGATAATTATTAAACGAAAAATAATATGATATTTATTTAATTATGTTTATAATACTACTGTTTACATTTTATAACACGACGTATATTTTTAAATTTTAGTATAGACAATGTTTGCTATGCCATAACTATTAACTAGTAATTACGGCGTAATGGCACTGCTTTTATAATGTCATGAAAACTTCTAAGATTACCTAAATTTTTCTCCTTGTTTTATTATTAATTATTTTAAAATCTTCGTACGTTAATACATTTGTATAACCTATCCGACGCGAATGTTTTCTATTATTTTATGATCACTTTTTTTTTATAAATTTGACTATTTATTTTTAAATTAAATGAAAATCAGAAAGGTTTATAACAAGTGGGGAAAATGTAATTATTTACTGTAATATTTTGGTAGAAAATATGACGAACCATCTAAAATATTATTATACTATTTATTAGTCATGATGAACTATATAGAAATATGTATTTAGTTGTATTTATAAAAATAGACAATAGCTTTGTTAAAAATCTAATAAATTCCACCGATTGATTTAATTTTAGATCAAAATATACCACAAAAGATAACTTAAAGTAATTCAAATAAATTTATTTAAAAAATAAAAATTTTAATATATGATAAATAATTAATAAAAAAAAAATAATAAATACAAAAATAAATTTTAAATGAAACGTTGAATGTATTGTGATATTAAATTATTAAAATGACTTTTTTATCTGTAGATGTTTTATAGTAAAAGAAATGGTTAGACCTTCGATTTCAATAATGGTTTCTGGTAGCAAATTGGATCTTGATGATATTTTCAGAAGATCAAAAGTTAAAATTTCAAATATATTTTAAATTAATAAGAAAAGTAAAAATAAAAACAACAAATAGCGTAAAATCAAAATTTTTTCACTTAACCATTTTTTGAAAAAAATTGAAATTAAGTTTTTATTTTAATTTAAAAATGAATTATTTTTCATGTAGCATTTACATATTAATTGACCAAATATTATTTAACTTCCAATATATTTTGACTTTTTCTAAGCTATTTATTTAAAGATTTTTAGTTTGCTTATTTATGTGTTATCAAATTTAATTAAAAAACTTGAATATTTAATATAAAGTTTTTCAAAAGCTTTTTATATAGGAATCTAAAAATATTAAATATACATAGGTGTGTATAATAATGATTTTATAAATATTTCAAATTCAAATTTTTATAAAATTGGATATTTAAAATAAAAATAAAGATTTTAGTTATTTTGCTGTGATTAAAAACAAAATTATTCACAATGAATTAAAACTTTTCACCATAATAATATTATTATTATTACTTATTTACAATGAAACTCAAAATATTTAGATTAATTTTTAAACTATCTCTGTATTTTTAATGCGTGTTTTAAGACATTTAACTTGAAATTGTTTGAAAATATATTTGAATGAACATATTTATTTAAGTAGGTATTAATTTGTATGTTAAACCTATTTATATATCAACTTTTATAATAAATCAATAAATATTATAATTATGTTTAATTAGATTATATAGCATTAAAAACAGTAATTTTATTCTTATAATATTTAAATATTTTAAAACGAATTATTTAAATTAATTTAATATATTTATAAATCCATAATTAGAAAAAAAGAAATTATTATAGTCAATTATGAATAAAAATATAGATAGGTATAGGTATGAGTAATCAACAAAATGATTTATTTGTAATAACTAATGACGACAATTTTTGTGACTAGTGAGGAAATGACTGAATGACAAAACAATTAAAATAAATGTTTGTCAATAATTATTGTCTCTTGATGTCACCAAGTCGGGAAAATAATTTTAAAATTGATTTCGTCATTTCGTTAGTCAATCGAGTATAATCAAAGAAATTATCTCATCATTTATTAATTATTGTAATTCAATTCCGTAAAAAAGAAACTTCTATCCTGAAATACTTTATCCAAACACCAGGATGGTATATTTAAACCGGTACAGTCTCAGGCCTCAGCCAACCTGGATATATGGTAACTCTATAATCCCGAAACCCATAACCCTGTCTGAATTTGTTTATTCTTACTTTAATGTAAATAAATCTTTAAAATGAATTACTTTAAATCATTAAAGTCTAAAACTACATTAACTACCTTTAGTAATTCGGTAATCCGCTTTGGTCCAACGACTATAAAAAAAAAAAATAATAATAACAAGGAACAGACAGCAGTAAACACATTTTACGTATTTACACATGGCACATGGCTGATGGTGGATTCGGTAGTTAGACATGTTGTCCACTTAAATATGTATTAACTAATCAACGTATAATATAATAAACGTGTATACTATAAAGATAAATTCTAAGTGTATGTATTATTTTTAACTATTTTAATTCTTGACAGTTAACATAAAAAAGTATTGAACATTTCAATAATGTAGTGGTATAGTGCATTGTGTACTTGGGCATGACTGCATGACTGCTTGAAGCGCGTGCATTAAGCGAATCTAAAAGATTTTTTATTGATTTTACATTCTTAATTAAACTTTGGTTTTTAATAATATAAATTATATAACAATTAACAAAAAATAATTGAAGCAATTCAACCACGTAAAAATAAAATATATCACCAAAACATTAAGTTAATGCTTATAAATAATTATATAAAATATTCAAGCGTCAAACTATGTATAAACAAAAGTAAAACTAATGTTATACAAAC